GCACAGAGCCCGACGCGGGGCTCGAACCCACGAACCGCGAGATCGACCTAAGCGAAAGTCGGACGCTTAACCGACTTAGCCACCCAGGCGCCCCTCCTCTTGATAAGTCTTGCCAGAGGTTGAATTTAGCTGAATTTTATCATGATATCACCTAATTGTGCACACTACATATACTTGTTCTTTATACAACCATACCACAATAAAACTATTATAAAAAGAAAAACGATTAGAAAACACAAACATTTGGAAATTAAACAACAAACTTCTGAATAACTGACATGTCAAAGAAGAAATCAGAAGAATATTAGAAAGAAAATATCTTACATCGAATTTAATAAAAAATAAAATGCATATAAAAATTTTCAAGACACGGCTATAATAGTACTTAGAAAGCAAAATGTAGTTGTAAAGTTTATATTTTAAAAATAGGATGGTTTAAGCCCATGTTTTTAATTTCTACCTTAAGAAATGAGAAAAAGAGGGGCATCTAGTGGCTCAGTCAGTTAGACATCCAACTTTTAAATTTTTTAATGTTTTAGTTATTTCTAAGAGAGAGAGAGAGGCAGCATAAGCAGGAGAGGGTCAGAGAGAGAGGGAGAAACAGAATCCAAAGCAGGCTCCAGGCTCTGAGCTAGCTGTCAGCACAAAGCCGGACACAGGGCTTGAACCCATGAACCGTGAGATCATGATTTGAGCCGAAGTCAGATGCTCAACCACTGAGCCACCCAGGTGCCCCAGGCATCCAACTCCTGATTTTGGCTAAGGTTATGATCTCACAATTTCATGGGTTCGAGTCTTACATCCAGCTCTGCACACTGACAGCATGCAACCTGCTTGGGATTCTTCCTCTCTCTGCCCTTCCCCACTCGTGCCTTCTCTGTCTCTCTCAAAATAAATAAATAAGCTTAAAAAAAGAAATATGAAAAAGTAAAATTAAAATCAAAGTAATTACAAGAAAGAAAACAAATCAGTGGAAGAGAGAAAACAAAGAAAATGGAGAAAGACATGTAAAAAAGAAGAGAGAAAATGAATAAAGCAAAAATAATGAATGTTAGTAAATCTAAAAAAAATAGAAAAAAGAAAATGGAGAAAATTAAGAGTATTTAAATTGGTTATTTAAAAATACCTAGAAAGAGTGATCTAGATAAAAGACAAACAAATATCAATATCAAGAATGAAAAAAGTGTTATCATCACAGATACTATAGAATTAAAAGGAAGATGGAATATTGGCTATGAGAACAACTGTATACTAACCAATTTGATAAATTAAATAGTGAAAAAATGGTGATTTTTTTGAAAAAACAACTTGTTCACACTGACAAAAGACTATTAATATAGAAAATCTGAATAGCCCCTACCACCTATGGAAGAAATTAAATTTTCTATCAAAAAAAATTTTTTTTAAACCCCATCTGTATATCAGGTGACTTCATAGGTGAATTTTATCAGTTACTTAAGGGAAAAAGAGTACAATAATAATATGTGTAATAATATTGCACATGTACCTTCAGAACAATAGAGGGTTACAGAACACTTCTCAGCTAGATTGCTGAGTCTATAATATCCCTGACAACAAAACCTGGCAGAGACATTACAAGAAAACATAACTGTAGATTAATATCCCACATGAACACAGATGTAAAAAAAATCTTAAAAATATATCAGCAAATTTAGTACATGAAAATATATCACTAACCGAGTTGACTTAAGAAATGAGAGATTTAGGGGCACCTGGGTGGCTCAGTCAGTTGAGCATCCAAATATGGCTCAGGTCATGATCTCAGGATCCATGGGTTCGAGCCCTGCACCGGGCTCTGTGCTGACAGCTCAGAGCTTGGAGCCTCCCTCTGATTCTGTGTCTCCATCTCTCTCTGCTCCTCCCCTGTTTGTGCTCTGTCTCTCTCTGCCTCTCACAAATAAATAAACATTTAAAAAATTTAAAAAAAGAAATGAGAGATTTAGGGGCATCTGGGTGGCTAAGTCAGTGTGACCTCGGCTTAGGTCATGATCGTGGTACATGAGTTTGAGCCCTGAGTTGGGCCCTGTGTTGACAGCTCAGAGCCTGGATCCTGCTTTGGATTCTATGTCTCCCCATCTCTCTTCCCCTCCCCTCCTACAGTCTGTCCCTCTCTCAAAAATAAATAAACATTAAAATAAATAAATAAATAAATAAATAATTTATTCAACATTTAAAAACTTATATATGCAATTCATTATAATAACAGAATTAAGAAAGCCATATTATCATGTTAATAGTACATCAAAAGCACTTGAAACATCAGTGGTTGATGATAAAATTGACTCAGCTAAGTAGGAATAGGAAATAATTCCTTTGATCCAATAAAGGATATCTATAAAAATCCTAAGCTGACATTATCATTGTGATAAAATGTTAAATGCCCTCTCCCAGTGGTCAGGATTAAGGGAAAGATGTTTGTTCCTTTAAACAGTTTATTTAAGGTCCTAGCCAATGCAATAAGAAAATAAACAAAAAGTAAAAATAAGAACAGACTCTGACAGATAAAATCTTGTATTTGCAATGATATAACTGCTGATAGAAAATTGTAACAGATCTAAAAACAAAAATTGTAATAGATCTATAAAGTGATACATAAAATGAGGCAACTTAATATAGTTTCAAACTAAAAATCAATAAAATTAAATGCATTTCTTTATATTTGCAGTAAAACTGGAAAATATAATTTTGAAAAATTGCATTTATAGCATAAAAATATGAAATAGGAATCTTTTTTTATAACCATAAAACTTCTACACTTAAAACTTTATTGGGAAAATGGAAGCAGAAAAAATAATTGAAGAGATCTAGTATGTTTATGGATTGAATACTCAATATGATTAAGATGATAATATTCCCTAATTTATTTTTCATTATACAAACCATCCATTTGATTATACAAGCAGATATCTTATAGAAATTTATAAGCTTTCCTTGAAATTTTTATGGAAAGGAAAAGGCAAGAATAAGTAAAGCAATTTTGAATAGCAAGAATATATTAGCACAAATCAGACTTCAAGACTTATAAACTATAGTCACCAAGGCAATGGGGCAGGAATAAAGATAGATAAATAGATACATAGGCTGAGTAAAGCGTCTAGAAGTAGATCAATACTTACATAGGTAACTGATTTTCATTTCAAAGTCTTTTCCACACAATTGCTAGAACAATTGCTACCTGTATTTTTAAAAAATCAACCCCTATTTTATACCAAGCTCAAAAATTAATATAATATGGATGATATACCTAAATATAAATGCTAAAACTATAAAGCTTCTAGAAGAAAATGTAGAGCATATATGCTTCATTCCATGTAAATATTTCTTATTTCCTTTTACAAGAGAACGAAAAATATGTTGAACCATAGATAGTAGATTGGGTTTTGATATTGATGTGATGCCACTTTCCATGTATTCTAGGCTTGGGGAAATTGGTTAAAATAATTGAGAATAGTAAGTTAAGGTGTCCTACTGACAGAGAAGAGAGATACAAATACGAAAAGTGGAAAAATGGAATAAGGCCTGATCTATTCAATAGGAATTGGTGGTGTTAATAGGATGTAGAGGTTTCAAGACAGATAAACACATAAATAAACAGGTGACAAGAGAGATGCCTTCATCCATAAATAGATACATACTTATATGAATACACTAATAGATATATTGACAGGTACGTAGATACATACTAGTTGTAAGCAGAGGCATAGGTACCTTTGTGTGTAATAAAGGGAGTTAAGAGCAATGGTATTCCAATAGTAATTAGTACACCTACTGCCCAGATGTTAATTTAAAGCCAGGTTTGTAGGTGGTATGTTACACAGCTAACTAATACAGTAATGATACAATAATATTAATACAACAATGATACAATGAATATTTAGAAGCAGTGCTTCCGCTATTTTTAAAATTACCTTCCAGCTTGAAAATTGTAATAATAAATAGCTAATTTTTTAAGGCACAAAGATCATTCTTTTACAAGTTAGAAAGAAATCAAATAAATTCTTTAAAACATTATAAATAAGAGCTTACCTGTGCAGGTTATTTCAGGCTCCCACCTTCCATTTACGCAGATCAAGTGCTTGTAGTCTGATCTTCCTCTACATTTGTAATGCATATTGGTATTATGATCAAATTCAATCACCTCATATGAAAACAACTGTGATGATTTACACTTCTTAAGTTCATTTGTTGCTATAAAATTAAAATATTCCCTTGACAAGACTAATCATAAAAATCAAAACTACTACATAAAAAATAGCAATAGAGTCAATAGTCTATTTTATGCTCACAAATCCCACCAAGTCATCCTGATCATATTGCATGAAATGGGCTTGTCAAAAAGACGGAAATAACAAGTGTTGGTGAGGATGTGGAGAAAAGGGAACACTTGTGCATTGTTGGTGGGAATGTAAATTTGTGCGGCCACTTCGGAAAACAGTATGGAAGAGCCTCAAAAAATTAAAAATAGAACTACCGTATGATCTAGCAATTTCACTTCTAAGTATTTATCTGAAAAAAAAAATGAAAACACTAACTTGAAAAGGCATATGCACCCCATATTTATTGCAGCATTATTTACAATAGGCAAGATATGGAAGCCATCTAAATGTCCATTGGCACATGAATAAAGATGTGGCATATAAATAAAATGGAATATTTATTCAGTCATAAAAAACAATAAAATCTTGCCATTTACACCAACATGGATAGACCTTAGGGAGTTATGATAAGAAAAATAAGTCAGACAGATAAATACCATATTATTTACTTATATTTGGAATCTAAAAAACAAATTGAAAAACTCATGTATATAAAGAACAAATTGGTAATTGCCAGAGGCAGGGGTAGAGTTGGGTGAAATGGGCGAAGGGAATCAAAAGATACAAACTTCCAGTTATAAAATAAATAAGTCATGGGGATGTAACAGCATAGTGACTATAGTTAATAATACTGTGCTGTATATTTATAAGTTGCTGAGAAGTAGATCTTGAAAATTCTCATCACAAGAAAAAACTATCTATAACTGTATATGGTGATAGATGTTAGATTTAGTGTGATCATTTCACAATGTATACAAATATCACATCATTATGTTGTACACCTAAAATGAACATAATGCTGTATGTCAATTATAAATATATATACATATGAAAATTAAAATCGACCTTAGAAAAGAAATTGGTTATTTAAAGTCATGAACTGTTTTCTGTACATGCTCTTAGAATCTTTGAGAAGCTATTTTTTTACACCTAACCATCCTATAATCCAATAATATTATAATGTCATAATAATAAATTTTTGCTAGCTTCAATATGTTACATATAGACTATAGAAGCTTTTTATATAGCTATATATTTCAATAATTCAGTTAAGAATGGGAGTCCTTTTTGAAGTTGATAAATCTCTTCATAGGTCTTTGCTAGTATTTGTTGTTTAAATTAACAAGATGAAGGAGGCAAACTCAAATAAATTGGCCAAAGAAAAGATTTTGAAATGCAACCTTAAGAAAAAATGAACAAAAAGGAGTCTAATTTAAAACAAACTAGAGGCTCCAGTCTTAGTCCTATTTTTAGAATTGGTCCCAAGTGTTGACGGAGATAAAACAAGGTATTCTTCAAGAGATAGTAACTGAAGAAAGATCTGTAATCAAAAGGAGTGGGGGTGGTTGTTATCATGTCCAATTTTCAAAAGGATTTCTTTGTTCGTGAGGAGAAAATAAACCTATGGAGAAAAGTGAAAGGAAGAGTGGAGGTACAGAATAAACACTGAGAGAGGAAAACTGGAGTAAAATCTAAGGTAGCTGGAAATGTTACATTAAATGTAATATAGGCAGAGGATTCACATTAAGGAAAACTCTGAGACCAGAGCAGAGTAATCATTGAAGCAGATGTTTTGATGTTAAGTTATAATGAAAAGATGAGAGTTTTCATGCCTGATCTCACCTTTGGTTTTTTCCCACAAATGACAGAAATGAGGTGAGATCATTTGTGGCACTAGGAGAGCACTAACATGAAGTTGGTCTTCGGGGACTGGCAGTACCTTTGACAGGAATGTATTTAGCAACGATGTTTAATAAGCAACAAAATTTATTGATCTATTTAACAAACTCCTGTTGAGTGCCTTCTCTATGCCAGCCAGTCTTCTGAGTATTGGGAATAAATCAGTGAAGTATGAAACCCTGTTGTCATGGAGATTGACTCCCAGCTGTATCTTCTCTTGGGATTAATTAATGCCTAGAAATTGGCTGAATAAATAAGACTAGACATCCTGGTTTCTCTTTGAACGTAGAACCCAGAGAAACTCTTGGAAAGAACTCATCCAAAGGGTAAAGTGAAAGGAGGCCCCCAAGGTTCTTCAAATTTGTCCTCAGAGTGCAGAATGATTCACTTATAGTATCTGAATTTTTTCTTGGCCCAATCTCCCTTGCCTCCTGTGACTGAGTTATACTACCGACTGCCCACCCTCCAGCACATGAGTTTCTTTTGCTGCATTTGAAACTGCCTGAGTAATCACCAATGTTAGAAAACTTGAGAGAGGCAAGATTCCTCTGGGAGTATAGCTGGTGGTTTTCTGTCAACTTATTTCCTTGTTTTCCAGGGCCTGAAAGAAGAAGTGCCGTATAAGAACAAACAAACAAAAAAAACCATTTATGTAAAGATAGTTATAAATTTGCAGGTTTTATATATATACCTGCAAGTATAAGTAAAGAAGTAAAGTCAGTATCAGGGACAGGGAGAGTCATAAAATCCAATTGCTAGTTTATATTTTTCCCCTGTTGGTACATATTGAACCATAACAACAAATGTTTGAATTTGTTGTTTATAATTTAAGACCTGACATGTTTGACAAATATCTCTAAATTTCAAAAACATTGTGACAGGCATAGTTTTTATAATAAAAATGTTAAGTTTTATTGAATGGCAATTCAAGAAATGCTGTTCTCACCAACACACTGAAGAAGTTGGGTCCACATTCCACTAACACATGTAAATTGATCTGTGTCCAATCAATATAAATGTTTCTCTGCACTTGAACTCCACTGAAGCTCCATGGTGATAGGGAGGGGCAGAAGACTCAACAACATAGCCATAATCAAGTCCAGGTATATCGCCACACGTACTGCCCTCTGTGAAAAATGCAAAAAAAAAAAAAAAAGTTTATATTTAAAATAGAATTTATGTGGTTATATGCATATAAACAAAAAGTGTTGATTTAATCAAGTTTGAATGTTCATGCTTTTTATACATTACCAATACATATAGATAAGTTTGTCCAGATTCCATCAACACACTGAATTTTATTAGAACCCTTCATCGAAAATCCGGAGTTGCAAACGTATTCCACCACTTCATTATGTTTGTATTTTTCTGTTTGTTTCCTTAATGTCCCCATTGGGGAGTTGAGGAGGCGTACCACATGATTTTACCTCCCCTACAGTAGAAATACTGTGTAAATAACGGTTACAATGTCTGTTTTAGAATTTCAAAATCCACTAGAGATATTTTTTTCTTTAATAATTTATCATAGCGTTCTTAAACAATAAAAAATGGTGTTTACACCAGATTCATTTCCCGGTTCTATTACTTATACTGAACTAACCTATTAGAAGTGTATTTAAGCCTTGAAAATATGCTCAATATACAAAAGCATAAATCTAAGGATGTGCAAAACTGATACCTGAAAATGAGAAAACACTGTAGAGGTAAAGGACCACATAAAGAAGAAATATAGTTCCAAAGATTTAATACTGTTAAAATACTTAATTTTCCCCAACGATCTATAGAACCAATGTTATCACAGGCAAAATCACTGTAGGTTTTTTTGTAGAAATTGACAAACTGATTCTAATATTCACATGGAAATGCAAAGAAACTAGAATGGCTATAAAACTGAAAAAGAAGAAAAGTTTGAAAGAATAACATTACATGATTTCAATACTTATCATAAAACCACAGTAATCAAGAAGCTGTGGTTTGGGCATAAAGACAGAAAGATTAAAAAAAAACAGAATGGGGTTCAGAAAAGGACCCAAATGTATACAGACAATTAATTTTTGACAACCTAAAAAGGCAATTCAAGGTAAAATGATAGTTTTTTTCTACAAAATGATGTAGAATGATTGGATACTCACATAAATCTAATCAGAGCTTTGATTCTATCATACCTCATATTCATGTCTCACATAAAAGATTAACCAAAAATAGAGTATAGGCTTAAACGTAAAACCAGAAACTATAAATCCTTTAGAAAACAGGAGAAAATCTTTGTTCTCCTGAGATTAGCAAAGAACTGAGATTAGAACTGAGATTAGCAAAATGTCTTACATCTAACACATTAAAAAGTTAAAGACATAAAAAATATTTTCTGACTACCTTACAATCCTATAAACATAAGAAACTTCAAGGGTGAATTAGAAACCTGGGCACCAGCCCTGAATTCAATTTTGAAAGTATAGCTCAGGTAGGAAAAGGTAGCAAAAAACTGTTCAATAATCTAGATATTCTAAAGTGTATTCAAACCAATTAGTAAATATAGCTGTACAATTATATTAATATTCACATTGCATGCAAACATTTTATCAAAAAAATTTTTTTAAAAATACCATCATTTGAGATGAGCACTTGATCAACATATTTTCACTAAGATTAAGCCATATATGATTGAATTGGCCAGAAGTTTAGACACAATCAATGAAATGAGTTAAAGCCCATGCTATTAAAAATGTCCAATATTAATGGTAGATTTCTAGGCAAAAGGAAAAGTAACAAAAGCCCCTTCAGAGTCAGACATCATATAAATATCTGTGCATACTTCCATTGTATATTTCAATAAATGATTTGAGATTAATTTCTTAAATAAGAAGTCTGAAGTATCTACTACCCAGCATATGTCCTTCAACGGGTCTCATCTGGCTTAATGCATTAGATTACAGACACACTGGAAGCCAAAAGAAAATTAAGAGAGAAAAAAAATGATATCCAAAATTCAAATTCTTGTTTCAGCAATTGTAGGATAAATATTCACCTTTACATGTTGGAAGATTAGGGGACCATCCAAAATGGTAACATTGAACTGAATCTGGTCCAACTCTTGTAAGCTTTTGTCTGCAGGAAAATTTCAACACATCTCCAACTTTCTATTTGTCTTTTTTGGGCTCAGCATTTGGGCCCAGTATTTTTCTATTTGGGGAATCAAGCATTCTCTTTTTATTAAAAAAAAAAAGAAGAAGGTAAAATAATTTAATGAGAATCTATAATTGATCGTTGCCAAAATAAATTTTACATACCTCATGTAATAATGAGGTGCAATGTATTCATTTACAGAGGGGCTTCAGATAAAGTCTCTTCTTTGAAAATTGTTACATATTAGGTTTTATCTACCTTCTAAAGCCATACAGGACTCTTTGAGAAATATTAAGGTGTTGAACAGCAATAGATACATCCTGAAAATGTATTTGTAAAATCAATTTGCCTATACTGGATCTGATATTATCACTGACATTTATGAAATAATGTTATGTTAATGTTATATTTTTTGTACTCTCAAACCAGAAAAGTATTCTCTCATTAAAAAATCTAATGCTACAATTTTTAAATTGCATACTTAAATAAAAATTGGTGCTTAATAAGGGACCTGGAAAGCTAAAGAGAAGTATTTCTAAGGTATTTTAGTGAGAGGAACATTTAGAAAGCTTAACTGATAATTTATAAGTGAAGAAATCAAAGTGAAACATGAAATACAATGAACACACATGTTCAAGGCCACAGAATCATATTCTGGGTGTCCTGAATAGTTATGTAATGTTCAACTAACTGTTCTTATTATTATATTAACTTATATTATATGTTATATATAAACTTATATTAACTGTTAATAAATTGTTAATTGTTCTGATTCAAATTAGAATTGCCTAAAATTATCTCTTAAAATTTGTGACATCGCTAAGTATTATCAAAAGCTGCATTTTTCTTATTGGGAATCCTCTTATATTGCTAATTCGTTTATAAAAATTAAACACTGTAATTTGAAAATTTGAATCATACTAAAAAGAAAATTCATACTACCTAGAAGTATTAACACAATCATAAAATTAGATGTAAGGGAACTATTTTTAAAAGTAATGCCATGAGCGGCGCCTGGGTGGCACAGTCAGTCAGTTAAGCATCCGACTTGTTTTGGCTCAAGTCATGATCCCACAGTTCATGAGTTTCAACCGCACTTCAGGCTCCACGCTGACAGCAAGGAGCCTGCATGGGATTCTTTCTCTGTCCTTCTCTCTGTGCCCCTCCCTCCGCCTCTCAAAATAAATAATAAACTTTTTTACAAAAGTAATGCCACAAAAACAACTCCACAATCTGCTTTTGTTTTAATGTTGAGTTTTATAGCTTAGTTGAGAGGGTCACACCTGATGAGAACTACAGGAAATTCTCTCCTAAAATTCTATTCCAATCTTCTATGTAGTAATTATTTTATTTCTATGTATCTTTGCTTATATACTTTGTGCTCATTTTACATAAATTCTCTATCTCAACACATTGTGAAAAAATCTGCCCTAACACCAAAAAAAATACATAATAATAATAAATCTTGGCTGTTGGCTATTTTCCAATTGTTATAGTTATATAAAGATAACAACTTTTAAATTGTGATTTAAAGAAGAGTTTGAATAGGCATATCCTGGATTAGAGATATTTATCTTTATCCAAAAGTCAAAATCCTAAATCCAACCACTGATACTTGGAAATGCTAGTATAAACTTTTTAAGTGTACATTTATTTAATATTTCTGGAAACACTCTTTGGCTTAAGTGGTTTATGATAACAATAATTCTTTGGAAACTTCCCCCCAAGGGGAGAATGTCCAGTACATTTGAAATAAACTCAGTTATAATTCCATCTTTGTGCAATTTTCTGCTACATGGTCGAGGAAAGTTATTTGAAAACAACACTAAACTGTCATTTATTCACTCAACTTTTGGAGGCCTTACCGTGCTGGTGAACTCCTACCAATGGGTTCATAGTGTCATAAGTTTTATAAAATTGGCAATAAAAGCCTTATTGGCCACATCAATTTCTATCACTGTCCCTGTCACTCCAACTTCTACTCTATCCCATTTTCCTAACCTGTGGTAACATTGGAAAGATTCTGAAAACTATATATTTATGATTTTGAATTCTTTTTTTAAAGAAGACCCATCAAAATTGTAAAAGCTTCTGATTTTATAAAACCTGTAACTGTCTCTAATCCCAGAAAAGAAATTCATGATCATCTTAAAAGGCTCCGCTTCTACTCAGACTAAAACCCAAATTCTTTATGATCCATTTCTTGCCTACACTTCCAATATAGCTTACGTCTCTCTCCCCCTGTCAATCCAGACTCCAGGCTTTATGATCTTTGGGTTTCTTTTAATAGCTCAAGTTCTTTGCTATTCAGCTGTTGCATAGCCCCCATCTCTATCCTGAAGAGTTTTCAACCTTTCTTTGTGTATATACCGTTCTATATAAAATTGAGCCCTCCATCTCCACCCCACCCCCATTTTCTAAGTTCTTCGATTTTTTTTTGTTTCTTTGTACACAGTTATATATAAAACATATTTAAAATGTTTTTTATCATCCAGTCCATTATTTGGCTTAATTCATTGTTTGTTTGTTTGTTTGTTTTCATACTGGAATGAAAGTTCCCAAAAGGCAGACCCACGTTTGGGGGCTTTCACCATTTTCTCCTAGTCGATGTCAAGCTCATAAATAGGTATTTGTTGACAGCCTGAATTAATCAACTTTAACTGGGACCAACACACTACTAAGCAAGTCTACCTCATCTTAATAATAAACTCACTGTGTGCCCCTTTCCTGAAGTCTCTATTTTAAACCTTTTCCCACACTTCTAAGTGTTCCTTCTCCTCCTTGCCCCATGCACAACTCAATCTCCAGTGATTTTGTCTTATATCTCAAAGGAAAATAGAAACCATCAGCTCCTGCTTCATTCCCGCATGAGATTTAAAAATTTGTTTTTCTTCCTTCCTCCTTTTCAAAATTGGAAGTAACTCTTGCTGCCACAGAAGCATCGTACTTCCACGGAGCTCTGGTTCCCTTTCCTTCCCACGTCCACAGGGAACTGTCTACCTCA